CTGCTCAGATGTTTAAAGCATCTTACTAATATTAGTGAAGAAGACAAAATTTATATCTTCCTGTAACAAGTAATTTTACGGAGGTTATGGACTAGATTTTCAGTAAGGGAGCTTTTATAGCAGTTTAGGGTTTGTTTTTTTAAGCCTCTTTTCCCTTTCTGTTTTCTTCAGTCTCAGGTGGTTGTGGGTAGTGCCTTAGTCATCTCTTGGGATGTTTATGTTTCAAAGACATAGTAAGATTTGCACCTCCTAAGGACACAGAAAGTATGTAGGTTTCGTCCCAGAGAAGTTTTGGGGCATAATTGCCTATTATCAGAGGTCTGGAGTGATTATCATTTCAGTTTTTCTTCTTTCTTTTAAGTGCATAAGAGTCCTCTTTCCAGTGTCCTGGTCTTTTATGTCTACAAACATTTTGAGATGAACTGGGGATATTTGGTGATTGGTAAGGGTAGATGGACTTCGAACTGCTATTAGAGCCACATTTCTGGTTTTGTAAAGACTAGATTTGTAAAACAAACACAGTTTTTAAAAATTCCTCAAGGAACTGGTTTGCAACCTGAACGATACAAAGGGAAGACCCACCCATCCAACTACATTATCTTCAGTTTGCTCCTTATATCAGGGAGAAACTTTCCAACTAAGACAGATATTTAAGAATTCCTATGTTCCAGATTTAGAGCTGTGTGCCTTTGAAATGCTTTAGTAAATCATCCCACAAAACTTTCATCACGTTTTCTTTCCCTCTGAGTATACAGCTTCATGTTAGCTTAGGAGAGAAGGCCTTTAAAAAAGTTCTATTAGGCTCTGAATATCAACCTCCAATTTGGCCAACTTCTGGCAGTAGAGCTCTTTTTAAAAGATAGTTTCAACTACTTCAAATATGTATACCAAAGGTTTATCTATCAAATGACTTAATACCAAAACCAATACTTAGCCATGAACTCAAGAGGCATCCCCACAGAAGGTGAAAAAGATGCAGACCTCCCAAGATCCAGAACCAAAAGAAAGAGTTTCCTGAGAGCTGGCAACAGTCAGTAGGATACTTGGCACAAATGTGGTGTGCAACCCGCATTTCTGTACAGCCATATTTTGGGGGGCCAATTTAACAATTGGTTGCCTGAGACACTTGCATGCCCCAACAGGCAGAAAGACAAGCCAGATTCTCAGGACGCAAAACAAGAGAGAAACAGGAAAGTCATAGCTGTCCCTGGCAGGGTGGGGGAAGGATCAACAACTAATGGGCATGCCCAAATCAAATTTTAACAAGAGTCAGAACCAAAGAACTAGTTCTTACAAATGTCTTTCTCCTGCCAATCTGAATCTGGGAAAGACAAAGGTGGTAATCCACCTTTGCCCAACTTGTTGCAACAGGCAGATCTAAAAGACTGATGTGTCAAGAATTTTTACTTTCTGCTGGATTTTGCTAGAGGTTCAGAATCTCTCTTTGAGTGAAGCTTCCAGATCAAGCAAGGTGTCCTCAGCCAATGGTGCCACATTTGGAGTGCAAGAAGCTGTAAAGGAGAAAAAAGTTTTCCTTGACCCTCTTATAGTCCCTGGCTGGTCTGAAAATGAAACAAACAAGGACAGATTAACAAAAGAAAAGCATACAAATTTTACTGAATCTTTACATGTACAAGAGATCCTTCACAAGAGAATAAAGATCTCAAAAGGTGGCCAGAGCAGCAAGCTTCTTCAGATAAAGGAACAGTCAAGTTTTGAACACAGACAAAACAGGGGTTTGAGTTAAGGGTAGTAAATGGTGAAGAAGTAACTACAAAGATTAAGTTTAGGTTAACGAGTTGGTTTATACCAATTTCTTGGTCCCAAATTTTGTGTCTCTGGTGAAATGTCTTCCTTCTTCCACAGGGTAGGGAATGTGGGGTGCGGGGCAGGGGGGCAGTATCTGTATGGGAGTTTTACTATCTGTTTCAAAGAAGAGAGTGGTTGGGGGGTCAGAGTGATTCACCTCAACTTGAAATGGTCTGAACATGGAATCCTGCTTCTACAGTTTCTTAAATTCCTTCAGTTTAAGGTAATTCATTATGCCAAGGTTCTATGTTTTAGTGTAACATAACCTGAATTCCATCAGCTTCTTGGTTGCTTTCATTCCTCCATGGAGTCCCACTTCTGCCAAAATTCTGTGGGCTATTCTGCCTGGAAAACAATTATTGACCAAGTAAAGGCACTTGCAATAATAGGCAGTATTTTAAGTTTACTTTACACTTTTCAAATAAGTTTTATAACCATTGTATCTTTGAATTTTGCAAACAGCCTTGTTATGTAGGTGCTATAATCATCCACAGAGTCTATATTTTACAGAAAATAAAACTGTGATTCAGAGAGATTTTTATTCTCACTTCATTTCGATGCTTACCTTGATTTGCAATGGTATCTAACACTAACTACATTGCAATGTGTGTGTATACATACCTATATATTATGCTGTGGTTGCCAATTTCCCCAAATGAAGGAATTATGCACTGTTCTTCCCAGTGAACTGCTTAAGAATACATTTGGTAAACAAGGAGCTCAATCTTTTCAAAACATTCTTCTTCCTTTTTCAAAAAATGGCACTGATGGATAGATAAATTTTCTTTACACAGTGTAACTAGCCATAATCGACTGTAAAAAAAAAATAGTAGCTCTGTTTATCACATCCCATGATGGGGCAAACCCTATGACTACTAATATTAGAAATATAACTTGAAAGAGTTTTTAATCATATGGGATAATATCACAAAAATAATATCAGACAGGAGAAAAGCAGAATTGTTCTTTTGTTTTTGAAATATATTTTTATAATTTTCCATAATAAACATGTTATAATCAGTAAAATAATTTTAAACCAAGAAATATAGATAACTCTTGTTCCTAAAATCACAAGTTTGTTGTTCTCCCTTTTTTCTGGTCCCAACTTTTGAATTTATAATCAACTGGCTACTGTATATTTTTGTTTGGCTGTCCTATTCTCACTTAAAATAAACACTTCTAAAACTAAATTTTTCTCCTAAACCAAACTACCCTTCTTGATGTCCCTACTCCTGTCTCCTTTTCATCCAAATCTTAAAATCTGGATTTTTTTTAAAGTCCGACTTCAGCTACTCATTTCCCTCTTCATGTCTTTTTTCCCCCAATGCACGTCTTTGTCCCTTGAACTGAAACTTGTCTCCAGATGGAATCCTTATTCTTGGGCTCTTTCATTTCTAGCTGGTATGACATCACTGTTAGAGAAATCTTCCAAAATCATGTATTGGTTTATATCACATTTGTGCTCAAAAACCAGCTACATGACTTGTCAGAAAAAGAACTTATTCCAGGTTTAGGACAACATCAATTCAAGATGACTTTGGGACATCTGTGCCAGAAAGCAAGGAAATGTTCAAAGAATGATAAGGACATGTCAGAGGGCACAGGAATTGACTTTGAATAGATGTTCCACTAGCCATATTGAACCATCTCAGCATCTAAAACAGTAACAGTTATGAGTTATAACACATTGAATTAGAATCTGTATGAGTCTACAGCAATACAGAAAGAGATGTACAGTGGAGAAAGGAATGGGAAGTGGAAGTTCTTCTGTTCAGAAAAGTGATAACTTATAAATGCAGAAGAAATGATGATAGATTAGAAAAGCAGCACATTGCAACTAATTATTATGATAATTGGTGACCAATGGATATGAGTGGGTGCTAAATTCATCAGTTGAAATGTGTTTAGGGAACAAGATATGACACAGTCTCAAAGTACTACCTCACAAATGTTTGCTATTGCAAAGTGGAAAATGTGCATGTATAGACCTGAAAGACTCCACCTTAACCAAGAGCTCAAACTTAGCATCACCAGAAACAGTGAGAGGCCCACAAGGTGCTCACACCAATCACATGTTCTTACAAACATGTTCAACCCAAGTCCAGTGTGGAGTAAACGATCAGAAAAGCCCAGAATGTAGAGCATTCTACAAGACAACTAGCTGGGATTCTTCAAAAATAATTTAATATACTGAAAAACAAAAGGATAATAAGATTAGTGTAGATTAAAAGAAAATTAAAAAAATCCCTGGCTGGCGTAGCTCAGTGGATTGAGCATAGGCTGCGAACCAAAGTGTCCCAGGTTCAATTCCCAGCCAGGGTACATGCCTGGGTTGTAGGCCATGACCCCCAGCAACTGCACATTGATGTTTCTCTCTCTCTCTCTCTCTATCTCCTTTTCTTACCTCTTTAAAAAATAAATAAATAAAATATTTTTTTAAAAGAAAATAAAAAGATATAATTTTGTATATAAACCTTCATTGGCATCTGTGTGAAAAAGTAAAACACAGCTACAGAAGAACAGAATGTCTTTATTCTTAGAAGATATGAGCTGATGTATGTAGGAGTGAGAAATCTTAATGTCTTTCAAACAGATATTTGAACCCCTTGTCGGTCAAACCAGTCCACTTATTCTCACAACTCTCATTGTGCTGATTTGCCTGTGAATATTGCTCATTTTCTCTGTCTAAAATAAAAACACCCTCTTCCTCATCAATCCCCATCTTACTTAAATATAAATATGACCACCTGATATTTTCCTCATATTCTTATATGTGAAGATATTAAAGTATCATCTACATAAGAGAAAAGCGGGACCATAGCTTATGATTCTTAGAGAATACCCTACCTAGAAAATAACACCTTCAATAAATAAGTACATACTGATTGATCACATCCATTCAATACATTGTATATGAGGTGATCATTATTTTAATATCAAAATTCCAGAAAAAAGGAAAAAATTTAGAAAATTAACTAATTCTCTCTATGGAATGCCAAACAAAAAGTCATTTAAAAACTTATTTTTAAGACTAGGTGAGTTTGGATTAAATGTTCACAATTTTGTCTGAACATTTGGTATTACATAGAGTAGAGTGGCCTTGGATGAGAAGGCCACTCTATCTGATCATTTATCTAAAATATCCCCTTGTCTCATTCTATTGCACTAACCTCCTTCTGTGTTTAATTTAGACACTGCTGTCAATTATCTTTTCTGCCCTTGGAATTGCTTTCTCTGGATACTGCCTGGCCATATCAGCTTTGGGCCTTGTCCAAGGCCCGTACTGCCGCACCCTCAATGGCTGGGAATATGCCTTTGAAGGCACTGCAGGACGGTAAGGAATAATTCCCCAAATCAAGGAGGTGAGAAATACCTGACTGCATGCTCTTGCTCATTTTCCATGATCACTTTGGGGTTCCATGCAGCTAATTTAGTGCAGAATTTTTCTATTTATTTACTAATCTCCAGATCAATATGTTCCCGTACAAATCTTTGTTTAGATATTTTTTCTCCAGTCTTTTAATGCCATGTATATTGACTGTTTTGAGGCTGTCATGGAGATATCCAAATGAAAGATGTGTTTCTCCCATATTTGAGAACAGGGCGTCATGGTTATTGTGGTCTGGCAACTGCTGGAGCCTGGGGCTTGAGTGGTTCTGGGAAGTCATTCTTATTTTGCAGTTGGTCAGGTTAGACATGTGGTGTATTACAGATATAGAAGGACGCAGCTGACAGAGAATCACAGTGCATTTGGAAAGTGCCACCCAGGGTTGTACCAGCAGGGGCTACACAAAGATAGAATTAGGCAGGGTGAGTTGCAATGTGCAGTCTGAGATCCAGAGACATGCAGCAGTTTGTAGAAGGAACCAGGAGCTCATCTAGCATGCACTGAAGAAGAATCTTAAAGGCTGCTCAAGGGCTGGAATGGTAGTTCACTCAGGTGTTGAGAGACCCAATCCTCTATCACAGAATGCCTCACACTGGCATCATGCTCAGCTTTTTGGCCTACCAGCATCTGCAGAGGAAGTGAAAAGGTAACAGGGCCCAGACAGAGAGATACAGGAGAGGGCTGTTGAATCCCCCATCTCACCCTGTGCTCAGAATTCTAATGGGATAAAATGAGAGGGTGTCTGTATCATTTCCTTGGGAAGTTACGTTTTTCTTCTCAACTCCCATGACTAGCTTTATGTTCAAGACCCATATATATTTGAGGTCTTACAGGCTCACCTACACCTGGATGGCAGAGCTGCCTCTGAGCGCCTTCATTCTGAAGGTGCTATGTCCAGAGCTCTCCCTCAGGTCAGGAGAACCTAGAAACCAACACCAGGCCTTTCTGAGCACTTGGAGGAAATAATCTTGTGGGATTAAAGGGCTTCAGGAAATGAAATCTTAATGTAGAAAGTCTCACTTAGTGCAAAAACATCCTTTTTTAATGTCATTAGTCCCTGAACTTTTCCCCACCCCAAAACCAAAGAAGCTTCCACTTTCTATGTGAGACTCTCAGGCTGCCTGCATGCCTCTGCATTATTCCTTTAAAGTTGCCCTTGATATTTGCATTCACCCATTTCTAGCTTCTTTACTCCTTGCAAATCCTGCTAGTGTGCTTATGAGTCTCCATTGTTTAAAAGAATAAACAGTACCATAGGCTGGGAGAAAAATAGAAACGCTGCTAGTCCTCTTGTTTTAAAGTGTTGGATGATCTGTGCAGAGCATGTATTAGCAACAATCTAGAGTAGGGATTTTAAAGAGGTTAGCTTCCCTGGTGGCTAAGACTGAGGCATATAAGGGCACATGAAATAGGTGTAGGGGAATGGTAACAAGAAATTAGATCTGTCCTGTGCTCCACAGGCTCCAGGGCATGTTTACATAATTCTCAACAAAAAGTCACAATAATCTTAGGGTTATATATTTTAAGCTCATTGTTCAGATAAGAGTCTAGAGGTCACAGTTTCAATGTCCCTTGCTGAAGATCCTATTGATCTGAGAGTTCTGACTTCACATTCAGTGCTCGTTACCTCTTGAGACCTAAGGGCCATTGGCAATACCAAGAAATTCTCAAAGTGCCTGTGAGTGTCCTGGAGCATAGAGAGTAGGAAAGAGAGTTGAAGGAAGGAAATAAAAAAGAAATGGAGTGGGAAGAGAGAAAAACAAAGAGAAGAGAGAGGTCATGGGAGTGGCGGTAGTCATGAAAATGCAGAATTCACCCCTTTCTGCTACAAGCATTGATACCCAGAGCCACTTGTCTGGTACCCAGGTTGCCTGAATTGCTATATTAAGAAAAATTGTCTTACTATTGACAATATATTTAGAGAGAAGTCTCCCTTGTAAATAGGTTTGATTATTTCTGTAGGGGAAAAAATAGGGGATTTTTTTTTGATAAAAGTAGTTTTCCATTTTTATCTAGTTGAACAGAGAGAATGCCATCCTTAGAAATGGTAATGGTCACAGTTGACCTGAAAGTGAGCAAATGTCAAGTTGATTTACTGTGGCTTTAAAATTATCTTGGGAGTAGTTTAATTCTTACAATTCTGTGCTAAAGTAGACTGATCAAACCTTATGCATCCCCACCCCACAATGTAAATCTTCTTAAGAGCTACAGTACAGCAACATTCTAAAAAATCAGTCTTCACACTCTGGACCCCAGACCAGCTGCCTCACCATCACCTGAGAGTTTACAAATGCAAAGTCTTGAGCCCCATCCAGGGCCTCTGAATCAAGAACTCTGTGGCAGAGCTCAGCAATCTGCGTTTTCACAAACCCTCCACAATCCTGATGTATGCTCAAGTTTGGGAATCACTGTTCTAAAGGGCTTTGGGACACAGTCCAGGAATATCTAGCAGAATCTCTTTGTTGCTTTGTCACCTGTGTGATTTTGTATCTAGCACAAGCTCAGCCCTGTCCCTCATAGTCCAGGCTAACTTCTGAGCTTAGAAAGAATGGGCAGTTTTACCTCTCTTTGTATTGACATATGCTGCCTTTCATTGCTGTTGAACTCTTCAGTATGTGTCTTCCTTCTTGATTGAATTAGAACTGCCTGTGTGGCAGGCACCATGTTTACAATAAGCGCAACCTGGTGTTATGCATATTATATGTTCAATATATGTACTGAATGATTTTTAATGAATGAGTGAATATTTAATATTATGTATTTTAATCATATATATTTGTGTCTCAGACACATAAATAACTGTAACCTTCAGCCTTGGACCAAGTATGTAGACTTGGCTTTGTTGAGCCTTGTTGACCGCATCCCTCCTCTTTCTCAGTTTCCTTACAGATTCCAGCATATGGATTCAGTGTCTTGAGCCTGCACATGTAGTGGAGTGGAACATCATTTTGTTTTCCATTCTCATAGCCCTCAGTGGGCTTCAGGTGATCGTCTGCCTCATCAGAGTAGTCATTCAGTTATCCAAGATACTGTGTGGAACTTATTCAGTCATCATCCAGGTAACAGACCCCCACTGGCTCCTATACCTCCTCCATTTTACCCCCACTGCCCAGGATTCAACGACTTTTCTTAAAAGGCTTTTAGAATTCCATCATTTCTTTGCCACTCCTACTGCCCTCATCTTTACTCAACCTCTAATACCTCTACTCTTTTTCCCAATATTACAGTGCACCTGTTGGTTTGTCTATATGGATTGAATCAATGGAATTGTAAAATCTGAATTCCATGTTGTGTGAAGAAAACAGCCCAGTGTTTTCAGTGAGCAACACCTTAGTTTTCTGTGTAGCTTTAACCCAGACCTCAAATAAATATATGCACTTATTGAGAATTTTCCTGTTCATAAAATAATCAAAGGCTCACAACCTCACCCTATTTTTTTGAAAGATGTTCCATTTAGCTAATAATCCTTCTTTATACTAATTCACTAGTGAGTGGTTTTTAAGAACTGAAACATGTCTTTATCTATGAGAACTATCTCTGTATCATCTGCTGAAATATTAATGTTTCAGTTATGGTTGAAACTGCTAAACCTATCCAGCAAGTCCAGAGTGAAGAGAAATCATGATCAAGATACCTTGTGTGTTTGTTTAAAAACATGTATTAGATAATTCCTTTCATAGTGGTATCAAATAGGATTTTCCTAGTCCATCATGTTTTGAATATAAACTGTAAGTTTAAATAGCTACCTGGATTATGAACCGTTAATCAAATCTACTTTACTACTTGACTCATTTTGGTTTTCCTTTTTTATAGCCTGGAATCATTTGAATAAGGACAAGAATGTTTTCCATTATCCAGTTATGGTCATCTATCAAAGTCTCATATTTAGGGTTGAGGGCAATGTTCAAATGATGTTTTCTCCATTTGGTGTTTATTATAGCCATTTGTGAAATTTACAGTCCTCCCTGGAAGTGCAAATTATGCCACACTTTCATTTAGAATTTTTTAAGCAATATTAGTCATGATCTTTAAAAATGTTTATACACTTAGATTAAACAAGTCTATTTCTAATAATCTATACCTCTGGAAATAAATAAGAATACAAGATGAAACTTTATGCAAATATATATATTTCTACATTATTTAATAATGTGGAAAATTAGAAAAGCCAAAAATTTTGAAGGTTATAGGAAAAATTAAATAAAGCGTGGTACACTAGTTGTAATATTATATGGTCATTACAAATAATGTTTTAAAGATTATGAATAGTGCTATGTGAAATAGCAGATTACAAGTTTATGTTTACAGTATAAGCATAACCATCTAAAACAAGTAAACAAACAAAACACCTAGTAATCAAAACACTGGGAAAAAAACTAAATCTAGAAGTGTTTACATAAAATGTCAACCGTGGTTGATTTGCATCATAGGTGACCCTTCTTCCTACATTTCTCTATTTTTCCAAGTTTTCTTTACTATGTTTTATTGTCAAAATGCTTTTTAAAAACTCATATTTTACCATTAAAATTCTCTTATTTTCCAACCTTTAAAGAAGCATATGCTTTTCCCAACCTTGAGTACCTATAAATGGTATAGAATAACACTTCAATCAATATTCAGTGAGGAAAGTAGTGAGTGAGATAAGCCAAAAAAGTTTTATATAAATATATATAGCCTAACTGAGTTCTTTGTTTTAAATAATTAGGGCAGGAAAGAAGGGTAGGCTTCTTCTTTCTCTCTGCTGTGTAGCATTCCATTGTGTAAATGTACCATACTTTTTTGATCCACTCAATTACTGATGGGCACTTAAGTTGCTTCTAGCACTTGGCTATTGTAAATTGTGCTGCTATGAACATTGGGGTGCATAATTTCTTTTGAATTGGTGTTTCATGATTCTTGGGATATAACCCCAGCAGTGGAATTGCTAGGTCAAAAGGCAGTGCCATTTTTAGTTTTCCGAGGAAATTCCATACTGTTTTCCATAGTGGTTGCACCAGTCTGCGTTCCCACCAACAGTGCACTAGGGTTCCCTTTTCTTCACATCCTCTCCAACACTTGTTTGTTGATTTGTTTATGGTGGCCATTTTGACTGGTGTGAAGTGTTATCTCATTGTGGTTTTAATTTGCATCTCTCTGATGGCTAGTGATGCTGAGCATCTTTTCATGTCTCTGGGCCCTCTGTATGTTCACCTTGGAGAAGTGTCTGTTCAAGTCTTTTGCCTATTTTTTAATTGGATTTTTTGTCTTTCTGGAGTGGAGTCATGTGAGTTCTTTATATATTTTGGAGATCAAACCCTTGTCTGAGGTATCATTGGCAATTATGTTTTCACATATAGCTGGTTCTCTTTTCATTTTAATGCTGTTTTCTCTGTCCATCCAGAAGCTTTTTAATTTGATGAGGTCCCATTTGTTAATTCTTTCCTTTATGTCTCTTGGCCTAGGGGATGTATCAGTGAAGACGTTGCTGCGTGAAGTGTCTGAGATTTTCCCGCTGATATTTTCCTCTAGGACTTTTATGCTGTCACAACTTATATTTAAGTCTTTTATTCACCTTGAATTTATTTTTGTGGATGGTGTAAGTTGGTGATTGAGTTTCATTTTTTTGCATGTAGCTGTCCAGATCTCCCAACACCATTTGTTGAAGAGGCTATTTTTACTCCATTTTATGCTTCTTCCCCCTTTGTCAAATATTAATTGACCATAGAGACTTGGGTTTATTTCCGGGCTCCCTATTCTGTTCCATTGGTCTATGTGCCTGTTCTTATGCCAGTACCAGGCTGTTTTGATTACAGTGGCCTTGTAATACAGTTTGATGCCAGGTACGGTGATCCCTCCTACTTTGTTCTTCCTTCTCAAAATTGCTGCAGCTATTTGGGGTCATTTATGGTTCCATATAAATTTCTGAAATGTTTGTTCTGTATCTGTGAAATGTGTCATCGGCACTTTAATAGGGATTGCATTGAATCTATAAATCTCTTTGCATAGCATAGCCTGAGTTCTTGGCTTTACTTTCTTACTCCTGGTGATGAGTGTGGTGGGCTACAAGAGATAGCCATGAAATAATGAGCAGTTGAGGACATGTTCAGTAGGTTAGACAAAGTGACCATTGACCAGTTGATATTATAATTGTCAGGGGGAGTTATCACTACCTGTATTTATTTTTTAAAAGCATATTAAGCAAAACACTGATTATTTTTCTACCTAGACTTACCATGACCTCCTTGAGAATAGCAGCCATGTCTTATATTTTCCCATCACCCACAGGTCCTAGCATAAATTGAACATACTAGACACTCAATGTTCAATATTCAAATTAGGCCCTTCTGCTCATTGTGGCCGCTCTATTGAATACCTGTCTCCATCATAAGCCCACTGGGTCTTAATCCTTCTGCCACTTCCCCATTATTCTCCTCTATAGACACTGTCAACAATATTCTGCCAACCCTTCTCTGTGCCAAAGCTGGGCATTAGTAGCCAGTAGTCTGGAGAATGCCTCTCCCTTTGGTGCCTGCTCAGTCTACTGCCTTCATTAAGAGAAGTTGCCCAGCCCACAACCTTTGCTGAAATTCACATCTTTGCTTTCACATGAAAGCCAGCCATGTGTGTCCCACATGACCCCCATACCCTGGATCTAGATGACAAAACTGGGACAGGTACTCAAGCCATGGGCAGCCTATTGTCACCCTAGTGGCCTCTTGCTTAGTTGAGAGTAAAACATATCCAAATAAGATTAGCAGTCATTCTTGTTTGAGAATTTGAACTAAGAAGCTAAGAGTGAAACAATCCAGGCACTGCTGTCAGAAAAATAATTAAAAGATAAGGAAGGAAACCAACATACAGAATATCTGATTACTCTACAAATGCTACAAGCTTATATGTTCAGTACCCTCTTTCTTTAGTTCTTATAGTGCTCTTGTAAATAGACTTCTGGCAGGTCAACACCCCCTGCCCCCACAGTTGTCAGACATATTCAGACTGTCTCAAACATGTTTAGATTCAGTGTGGTAGCTTACATTGAGTGGGCCATGGATAGATGTCAACCAAATGACTCCACCACAGTATTGGAAACATGTAGAAAAACAGGGGCACAGTCAAATGCAATACAGTATATCTGTCAGTAATTTAAATACAAACACAGCCACTCAAAAATTTAGTATTTAAACAGAATATGCCAATGATGCAATTTTAAGTAAAAGAGCTCAATACAGATCCATATGTGCAATTTGAACCCAATTATTTTAAACAACCATGTAATTACAAGTGGGCATGTACAAATCTTCAGATACACAGAAAAAAAATACCTCAATGTTGATAGTTAATAATTAGCACCTAATAATGAGATTTCTTTCAATTTTTCTATATTTTAAAAATCTTCCTAAAAATGTATTACTTGAATAATTAGAAAAAATAAATATTTAAAAAGTAAACATCATCTCATATTTTCTATAAAATTCATTTAAAGAGCTTAAATTTGGAAAGAACTAAACATGACATGTGAGTGTGACTCTTTTTCTTACCTTGCTTAGAAGGAACTCTTTTTCCATTTTCTAATTTTCAGAGAGACTGAGAATTGCCAGCTAATCCTAATTGAGAATGATTTCTATTTTATACAATATGCTCTTCTATTTATTACTTCTCTCATTTTTCTTGCTTCTATCTCAGTGTACTTTTCCTCACTTCTTAAATTCAATGCCTAACTTATTAATTTTTAACCTTTCTTTTTTTAATAAGCACTTAAGACTATGCATTTGTTACTTAGCTAACATAAAAAAAACTTTGAAATGTATTTTTCTTATTATTCAGTTATAAATACTTCTATTTTTCATTATGATTTATGAGTTTTCATAGGTGCTTCAAAATTCCCAAATATACATTTTTATTATATTTTTATTAATTTATAACATAATTGAATTGTGATCAAAGAATATGGTCTATATGATACTGATACTTTGAATGTTTTTAATACCTTTTTATGGCTAATATTTGTAAATGTTCTATATACAAGTATGTTTCCTTGAAATGCTGGGTGTAAGCTTCTATATGCATCCATTATGTCAAGTTGTTAATTTTGTTGTTTAGATATTCACTACTTTCCTTTTTGGTTGTTTGCTTGATCTAGGTTTTCTATGAGGATTTACTGCCTCATATACGTATACCTATACATACACATATACCCATACATATACATATACATACACACAAGTCCATATATAATCTCAGACAACAGTGTTTGACACATGGATGGGATTTATGTATCAGTCCTATAGCATAGTGATATTTAAAGATATATTCTGTAGTCAAATTACTTAGGTTCAAATCTAGCTCTGCCTTATTAGTTGTGTTATCCTGGTCAAGTTTACCTAACCTTTCTGTGCCTAGGTTTCCAAATCTGTAAAATAGGAATAATAATAGAGTTGCTGTGAAGATTGGGTTAGTACTTATAAAGCTCTTAGGAGCAGAGTGACTTAAAATCTGAACCCAGGTTCAGTTGGAGCAGATTTGGGGTGGCTGAAACCTAAAAATGTCACAAATACAACAGAAAAGGAAGAAGATGGAGGAAGGTCATAGGGTCAGAAGTCTGGGGAGAGAAAGAAGGCAAAGATAAGTAGTAGGCATTTCTAGACCAGGTAAAGTGTAAGAGGGGCCAAGACTTCCTTTTGTCACATGCTGGGAGACTGTGAACCTGATAGCCATCACACTCAGGTTCCTAAAACTCCAGCCTCTGGCCAGTACACTTATATCCACTGAAAAACCATAGGCACAGGGCCAATTCAAGGTTACTGTTATGAAAACCACAGCCTCTTATATTCAGAAAGATTCCTGCCAGCTCTGCTTTCTGCTGTGAGATGAAGTTGAGAATTAAGGACAAGATTCCAGTCCTGGAAGAATTAGGATATCAGATGCAAATAAGGAGTCCAATTTGAATGTGTGTAATTGGAGAGGTAAGAGCCCGATATACAACCTGGCCACTAAGATCTTTTTACTGGATGTGGTACCTGGCTATCCCTGTCAGAACCAACTCATGCTTGACCCAAAGAACATAACCAATTCAAATCAAATGCTTTTTCTGGGTTAATATAAAAACATGCACACATACACATGTATTTTCACTTCTGCCTAAAATCACAACTAAATTCACAGTAAAGGTTTTTTTTAAAGACAAAAACTAACACATATGGGGATATAAGGGAAAGAGACAACAACAATAAAATTTTGGAAGCCACGAAGCTTACTCATGAGACATAATCTACCAAAATAACTCAAGAAACATGAAAATCCCAAGCTATCAGTGGGGGAAGCTGAGAGCCAACATGATTTTCACCTCAGAATCCTCAAAAGACTCCCAAGTGGATAATATTAGATATTACTGGAACTAGAAGTAAAGAAAGACCACTAAGACAAGAAAAATTGGGTGTGTCCCTATATCCCTTTTCCTCTCCATGAACCTGGGAAGTAACAGACATCTGAAAGCTTATTCTCTGAAAAGGGTAAAATAGAGGGTCTCTGAATTAGAAGGAACTAGATTTACCAAAGATATAGATACTGTGCCA